TGGAAGAGATGGGAAAACTGAAGACATACTTCATGACCTATTAATTTTGGCAGCTCTTTAGTGGATGTGTGCAAATACTGCCAGGAACAGCAATCTCTTAGCAATGGATTACTAGAAGAACAGCTTTTCCCAACTTTATATTAACTACAACACAACAGTTCTAGACACCCTACCAGTATTTGCTTGGCTCCTCCCCGACGTTTACCAAGTAAACATTAATTCTAGAAAATGTCGCTTGTTTTCACTATATACAGGCACTATTTTCTTCTCAGGTGTCTTAAAAAAAAGATGAGACAAAATTTCAGTTAAAGCCTGAATAGGACAGACACTGCTTACATTTATATAATGCTGCATATCAATATATACATTTACAAACCCAATGGAGAATCCCTGAATATGCTCATCGCTTCTGGCACTGCTTCTCTTTTTAAAAGACCAAGTTCATTTTCCACATTTAAATTTTTTTTTTTTTCATTTCCTATTTTAACACTTAAAAGCAATTTTGGAGAACCTTACCATGATGCATTAAGGTATTTTAGCAAAAGTGACAGATAAACAGTACCAGCTTAAAGATCAAGGCTCCCTAACGTCTGTTAGGAGTTTTAGGCAATTCTAGTTTTGTAGAAATAAAAATGAGAAAGGAACTGCCAAAGTACACTTCACCAAAAAGCCTAAGAAATAAGATGAGAGCCTTTGAAATACAAGCCAAGATAGAGTTTATAAAGACGATGCATGCATGGATTTAAGAGCTGTCACTCAACAGAGATTATTTAATTGTGAAACCAATTTTCTCTTGTAAAATTTCAAACCTCAAGGCAAACAACTGCATCTCTAGAAGAATGCTGCCTCCACTAGTAAATATAATGAATACTACCCTTTGTTCTGAAAGAAGCTGTAGCTGTTTCCAGAGGTAGTATCCACAAAGGCGGCACTATCTACAGTGAAAAACTTAAGCCACTACAATATTAACACAATGTTTGAATAAAGGCAATTGTGGGAGCATCTCCTACCACTGATACAAAGCCACAGAGTTTCAGTAGAATAATGGTATTTTCCCATCCTTAGTACATCAGGTCTGTAGGCAAGGCAGCAGGCTTTGCAGTGTTCTGTTACTAGTTCTAGGGATTAGCAGCATAGCGATTCTCCTGCTGCTTTTACAGGTGAACATTTTTATCCAGTTTTGTATTTTCAGGCTTTCTGAAAAACAATGCTTAACATTGCAGCCATACACCTATTTCAGATGTTACACTGATACTCACAATGTGTAATACTGGAAGCAGCATTCAATTTACCCTACACAATGCTTTTTTCTTATTTTATTCAGTAAAACAGACATACACATATCTTACTCTCTTGAAATCAGACAAGCCTAAATGTACCCTAGAAGAGCTGCAAATACATACCATTGCGCATGGTAATATCTGACTGCTGTCTCTTATCAGATACATGGGTATCAACTTAATTTCTGAAAAATGTGTATTCTATGTATGACTATAATGTTAATTTTTTTTTTTTTAAGCAGTCTTTTAAAATAAGTCGTTACTGCTCTCAACTGGTCACGGTGCATCTGTGCTGAAACTCACCATATTGTAGTAAGGCTGGCAAAATGAATGTGTGCCAGATTCTCGCCCGTTGCAGTTTGTTGCCTCATGTACTCAATTAAGCCAGTATTTACAGTGACCTGAAGTTAACACGCTGGGCTGTAAACTGGCCCACATTCACTTCTGCTAGCTCCGCTGCAGCACAGCGATGTTCAGCCAAGGTACTGGAAAGGGAGGAAGGGCCCTTAGACTCGGTGCAAGAAAGTTAACGCTAGCCTGTTGGCACTATGCTTATTTGCAACAAGCCTGATTTGCTAGAAGACAATGATAAAAAACAGCACAGTTGTATTTTACAATACCACTAGACCACACTGTCTTGGTTTACTACAAGCATTCCCTTCTGAATTCTTAACTGTTTTTGTTCAAACTGAGTACTAAATGTACTAAACGCAAGTAAACACCTGCTCCTGGAATGACTGTTTACAGTAAAGCTAAAGACCATCAACTTCTTGCCTATAAGTACTATGAAAATGATGGTCTCTCCTAAGAAAACTGTCATTTAATGCCACTACAGAAAAGGGTGTGTGAGGACCTCCCCTTGCTTTTTTCTTTTTCTTTTTTTTTTTTTTAAACCCACAAGCCATTTAAAAGCTTATCCCACAGAGCTGCTGCCTGCTTTTGCAGATGAGGCAATATAACCAGGAACTGGTATGTTACAATGACCAGAAGTCAAAATGACCAGTTTGATTATTTTTATATTAATGTGAGATTGATCTAAACTGAACTGTTCTTAAAGAGGCTGAGTCTTCTCAGAAAAGAATACAGATTGTTAAATATGCAAGGACAAGTTTTTCTATTTCTACTAAAATAGTAACTAAACATTAAAGACAAACCCTAAATAATCAAGGTATGTTTTTTCATAAGATGGTGTTTTGGTGGTTTTGTTTGTTTTTGTTTGGGTTTTTTGGTTTTTTTTTTAAACATGGCAAAACTCAGTGATTATTTCATATTCTAAGAAGGTATTATTGGAGGGTTTGTTTCTTCTTTTCTTTTCAGCAGTATACTGTTACTGTACCAGCACTGAACCATACAATTGGTGCCTCAGTCAGGCATGGCACATAGCATGAGCTCCTTAAGCTACATCTGCTGAGAAAGACCGTACCACGGATGGATCTTCTTGGCAAGTCTAAGATGAATTTGAAACAGCAAGCATCAATATGAAGCCTCATTTCAAAGCAGGGCAAACTAACAATTCTACATCAGACATGAATTCTCTATACAAAATGATTTCACATTGGGAAAGGAACATTTCAAAATAGCAACATTATCTTCTCAGCTCATTTTACTGATTTGCCAGTATTGAAGATAACTGTGTCTGAAACATTTTAATCTTCACAGCAGAGACCCTTCTTTGATCTAAGGAGGTCGGGTGAAAGGGGAAGGAGAAGAGGAAAACTTAAAAACAAACAAAAGAATGCTTGAGAGTGACTCTTTAAAATTACTATGTTGAGTACCATAGGGATCTGAAAGATTGTCTCAGGATAGCTGGGATAGCAAACGTGGACAATAGAAATGTCTTGACCAGTAAGTAAAGAGGAGCAATGGAAAACTGCAAATACATTAAAGATGCATATTTCTTGCTTGTAATCTTCTTTACATGTGGTCTACAAGAAGCTGTAAGGAGAACATGACATTTCAGTGCAAAATTCTGAACTAAAAAAGTAACATAATGAAGAAGTTTCCCAAGTATCATGGTGGTCTCATTCAAGCTGGTTAGAATGGTGTGGGAATACTGAAGGACAGCCTCAGGTTCTTTCTCATCCTCCACCCTAGTCAGCAACAATTATAAAAATGTGTTTCATTACAGATTTTATGTCATCCACAAAAACAAGGAAATTAAAACACTGGACAGTTACTTAATCCAAGCAATACATCCTTCCTATTCAGTTAGTTGGAATTGAAGTGTAGGTCTTTCAGAATTGAAAATATTAAATGGGATGTAGCCGTATTTCAATGAACTTCTGTCAACACCACTAAACTAAGCCTGAGTCTGTCCTCAAAACACATACCTGCAAGTTTGCAAGTGGAAAACCAGCATGCTTGCAACTCTCCATTTAAGCATAGAGTTTTCACCAGTAAAATTGCAGCAGCTAATTTTGAGAATATGAGGACTAGGCTATTTGTGTTGTAATAGGCAGCCTGTTTACTGCAAACCACTACGAGGACCTTCCTGCTTAGTAAGTACCAGAATACTTTCCAATCACTTTCTATGGCAATATAGTTTTAAAAACAATATAAATATACACACAGTATCATGAAAATAGGAGCCTTCCAAATATATCAGCACTTCTGCAACTCCAGTAAAACAAACATCTAAGTTACCGAGAGCACTTTAGATACAAATCTTAGATATCCTTATCCCTAGATGAGAACAGACTTTTATTATGTAAGGCATGCCTGTATTTTGTATAACTCATTATCAGACAAACTCTTGAAATAAATTCAAAAGAAGTTGCTAGAAACTGAAAGGTGGTTCTTTGGTTAAGCCTGTGCATCTGCTACTTTGTACCTAGGGCCTCATTTGTATTTGTGGAAAAGCTGTTCAAGTATGAAATTTCTACCAAAAAAACCCACTTCCTATGTATAAAAAGGACCCATTTGTAAAGATCCATTGTGTCAAAATATTTCAACAATCTATACAAGAGGCCTTAATTGCCACCAAACCTGCAACTTAAGCAAAATTACATACGGAAGAAAAGCACTAGAGTAGTTTGATGCTGTGACCTAGGCAACACACCATTTCAGGAATTTAAGAACTCTGTTTATTATTAAGATATATCTTAATATATAAGATACATCTATTAAGATATTTGGCCAAAGGCTTACAGGGGGAAAAAAACCAAACTAAACTAAAAAAAAAATCCATGCTCTCTCCCCTTCCTCTTTGGAAATAAGCTTAAATTTGTTTGAAAAGTTAATTGAACTCAGCGACAGCATCTGAAAACCAACATTAAACAATCCCCATTCAACTTCTTCCTATTCCTGGAAGTACACCTGACAATCATACATTACCCCTGCCTGAAAACACTTAAGGCCTTTGATCAATTTTAGTTGACAAGATTACTCCACTGCAATGGTGGGTAAACAGCAAAATACTATCAGATTTCACTGCAAATGAGGGTAACATTAAAACTATTTAAACAAGTCCTCCTGTTTCAATAGGAGGAAAAAACACATTTAACAATTTGCATGTCTACTGGTTTCAGGAGGATATTAGAAATACCAGCCTCCAACAACATTAAATTTCAGTGTGTACAAGAGGATAACATTTAGATGTTGTTACAAGTTACAGGTGATGGTCAAAGCCTCTAAAGAAATATTCTGAGCAGCAGCAAGTAATTACTACTTTCATTTAACAATGAGTGGTTTACACCTTTTTTTCCACCAGATTAACCAAGAATAAGTATTTTGGAATTAGCTTTCTTTAAAGCTACTACAATTTAATAACACAAATAACCCAATAAATAAAAGTCAAGTTAGTCATTTCAGCAGATAATGACTCCAGCGGATATACCTGTCCTCTTAACCACTCTTTAAGAAGACAGGTCTTCAAGGTCTCCAACAAGGCAGTTGAACTATGTGTTAGTACGCAAAGCCATGGGAAGTAGACATTCCCTCTTGAAGAGGCAAAGTGCACAATAATGTAAGGCCAGCAGATGTTCCAGAAGTGGTTTCTCCTGAAACCCAAGCTATGCTTCCCTGTGAGCTGCCCCTAGGCACAGCTGGAAACAGAGTGAAGGCCATGACTGCTGTGAACTCAAGACAGAAGACAGTGATTCTCTCATGTTGAATAGGTGCAGCACAGCACCTTCATCACTCTGCAGCCATTTTCATCTCCTCAGGACTCTCTCTAGTTGACCTGGGGGGAGGAGGGGATGAAAAAAATTAAGACTCAAATCTGTCGAGTGATTACAAATATCTCATTCCCTACAAATGAAATGGGAAACAAACACATGTGCAAAGTTTTGTGTGTACTGTGGGAAGCTCTATCTACGGCATATACAGGAAGTCTTGGAACATAACTTCTAGAAGTCAGAGGCTACAGACAGGTCCAATTAGTGTTTTTTCTCCTAAGAACTCATATGAAAGATGACAACGTTATTCACGTGAATGAAGCAAAGGATTATTTCTGACAAGCACAGAATCCTTTTTCAGATATATGTATAATTAGCTAACCTATGTAATTGAACAAGACAGTAGAGACATTAAAATGGCTACTGTCATTAATAACCTCACAATATGATTTCCAACTCTAATTAAGTATTCAATTAGGAGTTTATTCATCCCATTCCTTAACTGTACAGTTTAAAGATACATTTCTATATTCCACGTTTGGTAACTTCAATAAAGAGATTAATCAAGATCATACTTGCAATGGAATAATGGCATATGATGTCATCTCATTTTTTAAGTTCAAGTATGTTTATTTATATTTTGCAGTATTGTACAGTAACACATAAAAATGCAATATTTGCAAGCTGGTCTCTTATTACGGACAATGAACACTATTTGATACCCATGAATAACAGTTTTACACAGAAAAAAGGATGTTCAATCATCTCCTAACACAATGGCAACATATAAATTACAGGATATGAAGGTATTATCAGTGAATTTTCTAAAAGAGCCTTCTGGAAGAAGCTGAGACACATTAAACAAACATTCCAAGTTTACAAGTTCCAATAAGTATTTTACTTTACCACAATTTTTATTTCTAGAATATAGGATAGCTGAATCCTCTCCAAATACTTTAAGAGGCATGTAGGTGTGTATGCATACTCTTATATAAAATTCATGCACACATTCTCTATACCTATGCATACATACACTGATCCATGTTAAAACATAATGCATCCATGGAAGACACTTACAACTTACCGGTAAATCTGTAATGGCCATGCTGCTTGTGATGGAGTGGGCACTGAGTTTGTCGGACTCACCAGCATGGCACTATATATGTTGGAAGCAACCACAAGTATACAAAGTAGAATTGGCCCTATGATGGCTCCTTCCAGTCCCAGGTAATATGCTCCACCAGCTACTGCAAGACCTGTCAGGTAAGGATGGCCACCTCTGGAATTATGGCACAAGCAGAATAAAATTAAATTAAGAACAACAAACAACAATACTATCAATTGTGAAATGTGAATTAATCATAAAGTTTTATTAAGCTTAGAAAATGACACAGCTAGCTATAGATACCCATATGTACACTATAAACTGCTGTTTGAATGACTGCACAAATATTCCAAGCAGTATTCTGTGCTGTATTTGCACAACAGATCAAACAATGTTTTATAGCATATAATGCTGGTAATATCCACAATGGAGTAACTACTTTATAGACATCTGCTGAAGAATGTCTGAAGGCATCAACAGCAAAAACATTTCCATTTTGAAAATGGAAAGATGATTGATTACAAAGAATGTTCATGCTTTCTGGTCAAGAATTGTTAAATTTTAAGACAACTAGCAACAGGTACCATGAGCACCCCTGAGCAGACATTAATTTACACAATGATAGCAACTTGCACTGCATCTTTCAAAGAATAGTTAGCATATATTCTTTCAATAAAGTCATGTCTTCTCATTTCGTTACAAAACAACCTCTTAGATTAAGTGTTTCTTATCATTAGCTTTTAATGTTTTCAGATTAAAAACAAAACCAGATTTTAATATTATTAATTACCAACATTGACTGGAAAGCTGGTGCCAATGGAGCTTTTGATAAGAGCTATTATGGCAGCAAGTAAGTCATTCCATTTTTCTTTGCCATGTTTCAGTTCAAATGTACAACATGAATCCTATCAACAGCATTTATAACAAAACCTGCTTATCATGCTTAATTTTTATAGCTAAAATAATGACAGTAACATGGAATTATACAAGAAAAGCTACAGCTGAAACTTAACACCCAATTTTCAGGAAGTTGCTCTAAATTCTGAGTTTAATGGAATGAAAATACCAGCTGGTCAGTTTAAAGCTACGGCAGTTTCTGCCAGGTTTCTACCATGGTCCTAACTTCTACCCAACTCCCACACTGGGAGTCTTTGCCTTCATCACAACTGTTGCAGAATGAGACCATGAGACATGACCTATTACATCATATACACCTCAATCATGTCTTACGTAGATCAAATTTAACCTACTGGTAGGGCCAGATTGTTTTTTGAGGGGACAGACTTGACTTTAAAGTTTTATATTTCTCCAACAGTAGACACATGATTCGTTTCTAAACCTTTAAAAACTTTAAATTTTTTTTTTTTCCAATATTTGCATCTGTTTAAATGTTTTTCTGGCTAGTTTGCTAAATTAAACAACAGATCATCTGATGAAATAGGACTACAGTATAGATTTAATGCATTTGGAAAACCCTGCATAACCTAATTATAGCTATTTCAAATAGATTTAATCTAATCTGCAAGACAGCATGATGCTTACTGTTCTATTTAATAGGAAGAATACAATTTTGCTCCACCATCAGAAAATCTATTCCTGCCACATATATTTTCTGGACAGTAAACAGAGCATGCATCCCCTACAGTCAAAAAATGTATTCTAATACGTAGACGACTTATTGTCTGGTTAAATAGCTACTAGCCTTAAATTTATCCATGATTTATTGTTGGGAAAAAAAACATGATTTATTATTATTGTACTTCATTTTATTATGATATTTTACTCATTAGCTTTAATTAATGCAAAATAACTAGTGCCACAGTTTATGAAAATTATTATTAATATTGTGCATATTATCATTAGTTTCTTCTGTTCAGTGTAATTATATTTGGTGAACAAAATTTTAATTTCTAACTTAGCACAGAACTGAAACACTTAAAGTCCTTATTCTACATTAACTCCACTATAACAAAAATCAGCACCAATGAGGGACTAGTACCAGTGTGTAACTAAGTCTAGACCATGAAGTTCTCAATTCAAACAGAAACAGTTTATTAGGATTGTTTCTGATGATCAAGACTGAAGCAGTGACTTCAAGGAGTACAACTTTTTATCTATCTTGTACGTGGTTGTGAATGTGTCTTGCACATATGAAACTCGGCAGTTCCAATCTTTGCCAGCTCTGTTAAAACAGGGATGTTCCATCTTCTAATCTGAACTGCATAGAGGGATTCACTAGATATTTCAGCAGCAGCAAACGCCAGTGGACATTTCAGGTGCACTCCAGATACAACTGCAGATGTTGACTTTGTCTCCATAGTTTGGACTTTGTTTCTTTGTGTACAAACTCAAAGCTGAAACCAGGAAACATTTCAAGTCCACAGAGGCAGCCAAACACTTAGCAAGATTTTTCAAGAAATCTGTGCCTATCTCCCACAACAGGAAAATAGCACTGGCTACTGTCTTAGTAGGAGTCTATCTCCAGTTTTGCAATTTCACCTGTCTCAACGCATTTAAAGACCAATCCAAATCAATAGATTTTTACACTGGGGTATGGTGACATAACACAAGGGTTTTGACTTCCAAAAAAATCCACAATCCATTCTGAAAAACTGAAGTATTATTTTTCAGGTCCCTAACTAGCTCATGGATTTCTTGTTTGTTCTGCAGTGTCATCTGGCATTAGGAGATGTAAAGGAAAATGCTACATGTCTTCAGTCAATGATTAGATAAATAGTAAAGGTATTTTTAGAACTACTTTACCAACTGAAAGCTGACTTAGAGAACGAATTCAAGACCTCTCATCCCTCTGTGACAAAGTTCACAGAAAAGAAGCCTGGGAAAGTAAAGACACTTAGGCCAGTAAGATTTCTTACTGTTAGGTGGTATCACTACACACATTCCTATGCTTGAAGATACCGTTCTGACTGCTTCAGAACAGTAAGTTTAATTAAAGACATCAATGATCATTAAGGATTTTTACAATACTAACTTTAAAAAGTCTTCAATGTACTTACCCTGATATATCGGAATAAATCGCTGTATCTACAAAATAGGTTGGCAAGAGGTGAAAAACCAAGAGCAAAATGGCTTTGCATCCCTGTCCTTGCACAAGCCACAAATCTAGGACTGCAGGGATGGCTGCCCAGTATGTCCCCAGAAACGGCACTGCTCCAAGGATTGCTGCTAATGCTAGAGCACACAGAAGCACAGGTGAGAAAGAGACCAGAACATATTTCACAAATGTATTTACAGTTGAATTCTGACACTTTTGGCATACCAGTAGTCCCACTTCTATCAACTTGTTGCAAATAAGATACTGAAGAAATGCCACATAAGGCTTTTGATGTTTTGTAGCTGTGGTTTAGGAAAAAAGAAAGTTACACTATTCCCCATACAAAAAAACTTCACTGTCTGTTATAAGGAGTTACTCCCAAAAGAAGCCACAATTCAAAAAATTTAAATTTATACCAATCATGCACATTTCAAACTTTTACATAACTATAAATTAGCAACTGTGTGTAAGAAAGTATACAAGCAGAAGTCTCATTGTAACTTAGCAGATCTCCTGCAGTCAGCCATAGTAACGTAGGTAGTACTGTGAGAAACCAGGCAAATATAAAATCCATGACTTACATATTTCTGTATGCACATGTGTACACACAGACATACACCCTCTTGATTGTACAAATACCCACTGTAATCTAAAGTGATGCAGTACTGCTGTCATTCTAATTTAATGCAACAGGAATGAACATCATAAAAAAAAAAAAAGGAAGTTTTTTTCTCTTAATCGTTATTAACCAGAAAGCAAAAACTTTTAAGATTTCACATGTAGCTGAAAGACAAAGAACGATTCTCTTCTAAGTAGGTCTAATGACAATCAATGCCTTTAAGGTAGTTGCACTTTTTAACACAGCCATTTCCTATTATATTGGGTTTTGTTGCTTTATAAGCTTCCCCTTTTGTTTCCCCGTACATGAAGGTACAACATTTTCTAAACAATAATAATTTATTATTTAAATATAGAGGGAAGAGAGGCAAAAGAGGAAAAGGGGAGAAGATTTTTCAGTGAAAACTGTTCAGCCACTTCCAAAGCCAACATTTAAAGAATAACAGAAAACCAGAGGCTGGTAATACAGGTAGGCAACAGTATCAAGAATAAGAAGCATATCTCTATCATGCATTTTCATGATATCACATCTTCCTGCATTTAGGCATCTTGAAAAATCAGCACCTGTCAGCTATGGAAGAAACAAAAGCGAAGCCAGGCTGAGAGAAGTTAAAACCTGGAAAGACTTGGACTGAAGAGAATGAAGAAGTAATTACATGCAGCAAAAGAAACACAGGAGAAGTAAAATAGTAAAATTGTGTAATATTATCTATAAATAGATTATAATTGTTCCAATTCTTACCAGATGGTATGAAGACTATGTTAATCCCAAATATAGTGTGAGTCAGCCAAGTGTAGAGTCCATAGAATCCAGCCATTTTGAGGGAAGCATCAAATACACCTCTAAAACAATCGAAGAAACTCTGTTAAATGTTATTGGCAATAGGATGCTGGGAACTATAAAGATATAAACAAGCTGCTTTGAAAAACTGCAAAGCCATTAGTGCCACAACTGACACAACTGAAAACGTAACACTGAACTCTTTATGCATTTGTTCCCTACGAAAAGGATAAGCATCCATCACATCTGTCATTTAAGGCATTTAGACACAAAAAACCCTAGACTGTTCTTTACTGTACAATGGGTTCCAGGGATAAATTCCCTGAAAGAAAGTGCTCAAGCATCAGACCACATCTTCTATCAAAAATAATCTTTTATTTATGAGAAGCAGTACCATTCTACGTACGAACTACTTTTTCTTTTCCCTTTTCCACTTTTACCTGTTCATTCATTTTCTTTATCTGCTTAAGTTTCTATACCTGCTCATTCTCATCAGATTAAAACCACTGGCCTATGAAGTGAAATAGGCTTTATAAATACTATTCTATAGAATAGAAATATATAGAACAGAAATATTGCTATTTATCTTTACTATACTTACATGTCTTCGCAGATGAAAATAATAAAGCACCTCATATTCAATACTGGATTTTAGCCTCAGTATCTTTATATTCCTAGCTTTTAGGTTGCTTACTAGGTTACATTACT